ATTTGAAAGACAAGACAAATAAAAACAAAAGACACGATACTGAAACTCTTCAAACTAGCCCTTGATTCATTTCAAGATAATCAACAAACTTAGTCATTAAAATCCTTGACCGCTTCCTAGAACATTCCCTGCAAGAGGAGGCGGCATTGTTTTCGAATTATCACCGTTAGCCACCTCATTTGGATTGTCCACAATGAAGTTCTCATCATCCAATGGATCCGCAAACAGCATCTCTAGAGTGAAGCCATCAAATATTGAGTCTAGATTTGAATCATCTGGCACAATACGTATCATATTTAGAGCATTGGATGTTGTGCTAATTGGATCATTTGGTGCATGAGGCATAGTACTCGGATTAAAAATCTCATTAGGCCCGATATTTGGATCATTTGATAGATTAATATCCATTGTTGCAATTTGGTTCCCGAAGGCATCAGACATTATGTCTGGATTATCTCCTGCATTAAGTGCTGCAATTGGATCATCTGACTCAATCATGACTAAATTATTGAAGAGATCCCTAGGCATGGCCTTTAAGTCATCAACAGGATCTAACGCCATGCTTGAATCATTCAACGGGTTATCCATCATCATTATTTTGGGATTGCCAGAGTCTAGGTTACAGAAGCTACTCAGGGGAGGAGTTGAATTAGTACTGCTGGGGGTATATTCATGAGTTGGGTTGCTGGGCATACTAGGCATGGGGAGAGTATTCAAGGCCTTCATTGCTGGATCTGAGTAAAACATCCTGTCATCCCTTAGAGAACCCTCAGCTGAACTCGAGTTACCTTGTTCCTTCTTTAGCTTCTTTGCAAGTTCGGCAACATCATTCCACAAGGCCTTCATACCAGCATCCAAAACTTCAAGCTCTTCTAGGTTGAATTTGTCCATTGAACGCGTATGCCAAAGCTCTTTCATCAAGCCTTTTCTTCTTTGTTTGAGCTCTTTACCTCGCTTCCTTGCTGCCTCCTTGTCTTGAGCCTGTTATCATATACACATATTCATGTATTTGCAGTATTAGATAAGTAATTAGGCTAAAGATTTGAAAGTCCAACAAAAAATTCAAAATATATCACGTAACGTCATAGATTTAAGTATTAGTGACTCATGATAATTTTTGGATTATCATAAATGGATATTATAAAAAAAAGATAGCAAATAAGTTGCTAACACCTTAGTGATATTACTGATTGTTTCTTGAGTATCATTGTCGTTGTCAGGATCTCGAGCTGGACGAACATCAATACTAAGAAAACGATCAATCACAATATCGATATTAGGATTGCCATAGCCGATGGCCCTCTTTCCAGGGGAGAAAACAATAAGGCCAACATCTGGTCTACAAAGAGTGCAAAGTTCACTCGCCTTCTTAAAAAGGCTACTTCGATGTTTTGAGAAGGTAACTTGGAGACTGGCTTCATTCTCCATCTTTTTTTACTCGATCTTTTGACGACCTTTGCTTTTAGTTGATGTCCCCTCATCTGCCATTGCTAAAACTGAAAACAACAAAAGATAACTTCGACAAATTGAGAAGAAGATAATGGAGATTATGATGAGAGGATGTAAGTATACTATTATTGCAATTGAAGATTGTAAACTATGCAAGGTATTTATAAGGTTTAGAGGTGCCACTTGAGGCTATCCAAGTTGAGTTAGGTGGATTTACTTAACTTTTATGCATTTACGTTTCTGGCTACAATCCTTTTTTTATTGAAATATAAGGTAAGGAATATCTTGACATAATCCAAAACTTAAATTTATGATACTATCAAGAATTCTTTACCTTTATTACTAGTACATAGTTAAACATTCATTTATGAATTTTGATTTGCTTACATCTCAAAGAAAAAAATTATTCTTCGTCCGTCAATAATCATATGAGTGCGGCGATCTTGGAATATAAAAATAGAAAGTTTACACAAGCATGTTGAACCTAAATTCTCTTTAATGTATTTTCCTTATTCATAGTTCATTTAATTATTTTCTACTAAATAAAAAAAATTGTTCTTATCATGGTCGTCAAGATGATCTTATTCAACTATTAGTATGTCATTCATTTAGTATAATGCTAGAGATAAGTTAAATTTCTTTGATTATTAGTGAATTTTAATATAATTTCATCGAGATAGTTTATATGTTTATATATTTTTTATGTTCCAGTCTTCTTATCTAGCTTCTATCAGTGGATGCATTTGTGAACAAATTCTTACTACTTGATTTAAACTGAGGAAGAAATTCATCCTTGGCGCATTAATGATCATGACAAATACAAAAATGAAAAGTATACGTAAGTGTATAAAATCTAATTATCTAATATTGAATAAAACAAACTAATGTTCAATAGTTATTCTTTTTCATGCATTTCACTTACTAACAATTCATATAATTGTTTTATGTAAATCAACAAGTTAAGTTTTATCATGGTGAGTAAGGTGATCTTATCCAACAACTAATATGTCGTTCATTTGGTGAAACGCTAGGGGGAAGTTAAAAATGTTTTTACCCTGAATAAATTTGATAGTCTCGTCGATATGATCTATCTATTTATTTTTTATTTATTTATTTCAGTATTTTTGTTTTATTTTTATTATTAGATGCATTCATGAATAAATTATTGCATCAAGTTTCGTTCAATCTCAAAGAAGAAATTTATTAATGGCATGGAAATGATCATAATAGCCATGATCTTGGAACACAAAATAGAAAGTTTATGAAGATTTATATAACCTAATGCTCTTACATCATGCACAAATTAACTAAAGTGAAATAGTTCAAGAGTTTTTGCCTTCTATGCATTTCCCGTATTAACATATCATTTAGTTGTTCTCAAGTAACTCAGAAGGCTCGATTTTATCATGGTCAGAAAGATGATCTTATCTGATAATGAATATGTCATGCACTGGGTATAACACAAGAGAGAAGTTAAATTCTATCGTTATTATTAAATTTGACATAATCTCATTGATATAAACAACGTGTCTATATATTTTTTATATTCCAGTCTTCTTGTTCTGTTTTTGTCCTTGAACGCAATTTGTTCTTCATGCATATCTGTTTGTGTTTCATAAGGCTTCAAAATGTAAACAATATATCATAATAGTATTGCCATGTTAATGCATCATTCAGCAGCCCTTTCCTATTTCTCTTCTTTTTTTTTTCTTCTATTTAATCTTAAATCTATTAGCATGTTTTTCTTTATCGGCCTACTTTGTTGCTCTCAAGATTAATTTTGCTCTCAAAATTGAAAGCAATTTAGTTTCAATGTACAAAATTAGTCTGAAAATATCTTAACAGTAAATCTTTTGAAATAAAATTTTAAGACTTAATATCACACTTATATACATTGATTAAGCATCTGGTAAGAAATATGTTTTTGTTAGCAAAAAAATTTCATTCTTTGTTACGAGTTTTTAAAAAAATAGTAAGATAAGTATACAAAAATAAGACCCTCGTTAATCAAAATTGAATGGATCACATGATCCGGGAAGCAGAGTCAAATTCTCCTGTATAAATATATATTTGAAACTCTAGTTTAGAAATATGTTCAGACTTAAAACAGAAGAGATTATTGGTTTTAGATTGAAAGATCTTTTACCTGCTGTGGATCGACTTCAGATGGTGCTTGGGTGAGAGCACACTGTACGATAGTTGTCTTCAAGAAAGCTATGACATCTCTATGGAACTAGCTCCTACTAACAATATAACCAATCTATCCAATCCATATGCAGTGTCCCCTCCATTTCAAAAGCATTGCCGGAAAATTTTTTATTCTAAATTCAGTAGTTGTCTTCACATAATAGCTACAATATGATCAACATTTGATACCTACACCAAACTTAGAGCAAAGAAGGATGTCTTCATGTGAAAAAGATATAAATGTAGACATACACGAGTTGTAGATTCAGTGTAAAAATATAGAAAATAGAAATTCAAATGGAATAGAAATAAGAAAAAAATTAAGAAAGAGAATAATATGCTGAGCAGATTTGTGATTCCAACATAGCACCAAATTAAATATAGGAGTGTAATCGCCAGATTTGTGATTAAATACGTATATACATTTCAATACAACAGCACTTATATCTGTACATGCATCATCTTTTTAATGAATAATTTATTTTTATTTTCCCTATCATGTCGTTCTTACAAATTTTTTGTTAAATAAGAATAAATTAACTATATTATACTTTTAAAGTTGATCTATATATAGATCTACTACTTACCTTCTCTACAACCTATATGTTCTATTTTTATTTGGATTCATACAGTTATTTAGTATCATACATACATTTAAATTGTACATAAGAAAATAGTGGATTATAATTTTTATGTAATTTAATTCTTGTGCATGCTAATTATTCCATAAATTTACCCGAAGAACAAAAACTCATGCTTGTGTAATCTAATATCTATCTCTAACCTGAAAGCTTTTGATATTGAAAAATTATAGTATGCTTATCTCAAGCTCTAAACTTTCCTCAATCTCTCGAGGTATGGTGTACAATAAATATGAGATAATAGGTCACTGTATATATACACACACAGATATATATATATAATAGAGGCTAAACTCTTGTATACATGTGTTCTATATTTTGTATGGTGAATATAAATGAGTAAATATTTTGATAATAATTGTTTATATATTAAAATAATACATATTACGATATGTTATATAGGTAGCAGTTGATAGTGTCACAACGCATGACAAAAAAAAAAACGCAGTAGAATGTTTGAGATATATACATATATATATATAATCAAGAGAAAAGGGTTTTAAGGAAGAAAACTTATATTAAGAACTAGATGCAATATCACTGAACGATTACAAAATACTTAAACAAATAACATAAAATAAGATGCCTCTTATTTTCTAGAACAAACCCTTACTCGTTAGAAGCTAAAATCCTAAAACCCAACATAATATAAAGACTAATACTGAGGCATTTACTATGCCGGAAAAATTAAAATTTCATTTTAAATAAATAACAAAAGTTTGCTTAGAAGAATCCTTGGCCAAATCCATGATACTGTGGAGGCATCATGTTCGGATTTTTGAATGGAACAATGTTAGAACTGAATCCAGCAGGCTTTGTATCAAAAGGAAGACCTGTTCCACATGAAGAACTTCCCAAAAAAAAAGGATGGTTAGGATGATGATGATGATGAGGATGAGGATGAGGAAGATGAGGATGAGGATGATGATTATTTGGGGTACGAATCACAATCTTCTCAGCATGCTTAGCCACATTCTTCTTCAGCTCATCGAGATAGGCCTTCAATTGTTGAAGTGTGTTAAGCTCATATCTTCCTTGGGAGTCATCCACCAACATTGATTCTCATTTGTCTTTTTCATATGGTTAAGCTCCTCGCCTCGCTTCTTCTCGATTTCGAGTTGGTTCAGAACTTGTACATGTAGTAGAATTAATATATATTATTTATATTAAAAACGTTTTATTAGAAAGGAAAGAAATTAAAATAACCTGAGTGAGCTGCATGTTGAGCTTACGGATGCTAGCGTTCCGATGAGCCTCAATGAGTTTCATGGTTCCAGAAGTAGCTTGTGGTGGATTACCACTAACAAAACGTTCCAACACAGTCTCGACACAAGGATGACCAAAAGAAAAGACCTTTCGACCGAGTGAGAAGACGATAATAGCAATCTCAGCCCCACATAGAGTGCTCAATTCACTTGCCTTCTTGAAAAGTCCGGCTCGGCGTTTGGAGAAAGTGACTTGGAGATTGCTTTCATTATTCATCTTCACCATCTCAACCTTTTGTCGTCCCTTACTCTTTCTCGCCATAGTTACAAGTATTGAATATGTGAAGAGAGAAATTAAAAGAGAGATTAATGGAGAGAAAAAATTGTATTTAAAGAGGGGAAAATGAGTGATATTTATAGGAGATTTAAATCAAGGTTGTGATTAATAAATTTTAGGTAGACATCCTGTACATATTTTCCTGTATTAATAACTTACATCTTTAGGGTTGCTTGAGAATCTTCTCTTTTTTGAAATATACGGTAGGAAAAATCTGGACAATTAAAGTTAAATTTTAGCTGTACTTTTATACAATTTAAAAAATCATCATTGTTTTAGCATTTATAGATACATAGCTAGATGGATATATATGAAAATTGAACCTTCTTGAAAATTTTACATTTTTTTTATGTTATATATATGTATATATTGTAACGGCCCCGGAAATTTAAAATGAAATATATGTATTAAAAATGTCAAATGCGGAAGTGTAATAAAAATTTTGATCAGCATCCCTTACACAATAACTAAAACGTGCTCAAAACATGAAATTACAAGCTAACTAAAAGAGATACTCGAAAATAAGAACTATATATATAACTACGGAGTCTTTAGGAGTCCCCTTCGCCGTCTTCCTACGGAACGGGCTCGGGAACAATGTCTTCCTGATCTGAAATGGTTAAATAAGGAATGAGCTACACCAGCCCAGTAAAGACATCACACTATCTCACCGCCACGGAGGTAAAGGTGGGTAGAAAACACAAAAAAGACCAATGGAGCATAATTTATAATAAACTCGTTTATTAACATAAAAACCTTTACTGTCCACTTACCTCGGTGAGATCCATAAAACAACATATGAAAGCAATAACATTATCATCATCATGAAATCATATGAACTGTATAACATAATACTTACCACGCCTTTGCATTTCAATCATTAAACAACACAATCTCCTCATTTACTAGCTTACTAGTATCCATGAGGATCCATAGGGGTCCCGCTACCCGTGAACCCTTAACATTTATAACCTGATTCCAGAGCCGTCCCCATACCCCGTCCGGTATGGGCACCAAAACCATGAACCTCAATACCCCGTTCGGTTTTGGCTGGGTTTTCCGACCATTTGGCTGGTGGTTTGGCTATAGGCAGACTCAGCATCGAAAAACGAGCAGGGAGGAAAAAATTTACCTCGATCAGCGGTCAGAAACTTCTCCAGTGCGGCGGCGGGTGGCGGCGGCCGGCTCCTCCAGCGTCTGGTTCTTCTTCTCCGGCGAGCACTGGCGGCTAGGGTTTCTTTGGTCAAGTGTGGGTGGGGTTATTTATACCATTTGCCTTTTAATCTCAACCGTCCATCAAGATTAAATCTGGACTGTTCGATTTCGATTTAATTGAGATTAAATCTGGGCTGTCCATCGCGATGTAATTTGGGCCGTCCGTGCCTGATTGAATCTGGGCCGTCCGTGCGCGTGAATCTGGGCCGTCCGTGCGCGCGGGAACGGATCTGGACTGTCCGATCGCGCGCATGCGGATCGCCCACGTGGCTCGTCCCTTGGTCAGCGTTTCCTTGCCACGCAGTGCATCCTGGTTGGCCGGGGCTGTTGACCGGGCCGCTGACGTGCTGCTGACGCGGGGCTGACGTGGCACAACTTTTCTAAATTGTGTTTTGACCCCCGGTATCGGTTTTATTTTTCAAAAACACCACCATAATCCAAATTTTCACCCCTTTTTCCCAAAATCAATTTCAATTAAATCCAAATGATATTTTTACCCAACTTTATCATTATTATTATTTTTATTTTCATTAAATTAAATCAAATTAAATTAAATTAAATAAAAAATCAAAAAAAAATTTAATAATTACAAAATAAAATAAATTAAAAAAAAATAATAATAATAATACACTTGGGGTGTTACAACTCTCCCCCCTTAAAGAAATTTGGTCCCCCAAATTTGCCTCTTACTCTTGGTCGAATAAATGGGGATACTGGGCTCTAAATTCTGATTCCAACTCCCAAGTAGCCTCCCTGGGTGTGTGGTTCTGCCACACGACCTTTACAAATGGTATTTCCCGGTTGCGGAGTATTTTACTCTTTCGGTCCGTGATACCGACTGGTACTTCTTCATAAGACAAGTCCTCTTGGAGTGGAAGCGGTTCATGAGCCAAGACATGAGAAGGGTCCGGGTTGTACTTACGTAGCACGGATACGTGGAACACGTTGTGGACTCTGGAGAGCTCTGGAGGCAGTGCTAGTCTGTAGGCAGCAGTACCAATCTTGTCTAAGATTTCAAAGGGTCCAATATACCGGGGGTTTAATTTTTCCCTCCTGCCGAACCTACTAATTCCCTTGAAAGGAGTGACCTTAAGAAACACCCGGTCACCTTTCTCAAACGCTAGGTCTCTCCTCCGGGTATCTGCATAACTCTTCTACCTACTCTGAGCTGTTTGAATGTTCTTCTTGATTTTAACTATCTTGGACGTGGTCTCCTCTACCAACTCCGGGCTGAACAATCTTCTATCGCCCACTTCCTCCCAGCAAATCGGTGATCTGCACGGGCGCCCATATAACGCCTCCTATGGAGCCATGCCGATGCTTGCTTGGTAGATGTTGTTGTAGGCAAACTCTATCAGGGGCAGATGGTCGTCCCAATGGCCCCCGGAGTCAAGGACACAAGCTCGGAGCATATCCTCAAGCGTATGAATTGTCCTCTCTGATTGTCCATCAGTCTGGGGATGGAAAGTAGTACTAAGAGATAGCTTTATTCCCATAGCTTGCTGGGAGCTACTCCAAAACCGAGAAGTGAACTTGGGATCCCTGTCGGACACTACTGTCACTGGAACCCCATGCAATCTGACTATCTCCCGGATATACATCCTTGCCAACTTGTCCAATGAATCGATCATCCTGATGGCTAGAAAGTGGGAAGACTTGGTAAGTCGGTCAACGATTACCCATATGGCATCGTGTCCTAAACGTGCCTTGGGTAGCCCCGATACGAAGTCCATGGTGATATGTTCCCACTTCCACTCCGGGATCGGTAAAGGCTGAAGTAACCCACCTGGGCACTGATACTCTGCCTTGACCTGCTGACATACCAAACATTTAGATACAAAGTCAGCTATGTCTCTCTTCATCCCATGCCACCAAAACCGGGGTCGCATGCTTTGGTACATTTTGGTGCTTCCTGGATGCATGGCAAACTTCGAGCTATGGGACTCCGTCATGATGTCCCTTTTTAACTCACTGTCACCTGGGACACACACCCTGTCTTGGAAACGAAGTAGTTCATTGGCAGATATTCAGAATTCTGAGCTCCTTCCCTATTCTGCATCCTTCTTGCGGGCTACCAGGGCGGGGTCAACTGTCTGGGCTTCCCTTATTCTCTGAATTAACTCGGGCTGGACTGTCAGGCGGCCCAAACATGTGACTCTCTTCAGATCATGAAGTCGAACTTGTATTGTGGCCCAATTGGTCTGCATTCTGAAACCATCAAATGGGCTAAGATACCTGCACTTTTCCTGCTGAGGGCATCTGCTACCACATTGCTCTTACCCGGATGGTATAAGATGTCACAATCATAGTCCTTAAGGAGTTCCATCCACCTTCTCTGACGCATGTTGAGATCCTTCTGAGTGAATATGTGTTTCAAACTTTTGTGATCGGTATAGATCTTAAAGGTTTCTCCGTACAAATAATGGCGCCAAGTTTTTAAGGCATGAATGATTGCGGCAAGTTCCAAGTCATGGGTGGGATAGTTCTTCTCATGATTCTTTAACTGTCTGGACCCATATGTTATAACCTTTCCATGCTGCATCAGGACACAACCCAGGCCTAGATAGGAGGCATCACTATAAACTGTATATCCTCCTGATCCACTCGGTAAGGCTAGCACGGGTGCAGTGGTCAGCGGCTTCTTTAATTCTGAAAAACTTCTTTTGCAGTCTTCATTCCACTCAAACTTGGTATTCTTCTTTGTGAGTCAGGTTAGAGGAGCTGCTAGACTGGAGAATCCTTCCACGAACCTACGGTAATAACCTACCATTCCCAGGAAGCTACGGATTTCCTTAACTGATGTCAGCTTCTCCCAACCAAGTACCGCTTCAACCTTTTCAGGATTCACTGATACCCCTTCCTTCGATATGATGTGTCCTACGAAGGCAGTCTGCTCAAGCCAGAATCCACACTTACTCAACTTCGCATATAAGCTATTGTTTCTAAGGACCTGCAAAACTTGGGCCAGATGGTGAGCATGTTCTTCTCTGCTTTTTGAGTAGACTAAGATATCATCGATGAACACGATGACAAATTGATCCAAGAACTCTCTGAAGACCCTGTTCATCAGATCCATAAAGATTACCGGGGCATTGGTTAGCCCGAATGGCATGACCAGGAACTCATAGTGTCCGTACCTGGTTCGGAAGGCCGTCTTGGGGATGTCTTCTGTTCTTATCTTCACCTGGTGGTAACCTGATCGTAGGTCTATTTTACAGAAGACTTGTGCACCTTGCAGCTGATCAAAGAGGTCATCAATCCGGGGAAGGGGATACTTATTTTTTATCGTGACCTTGTTCAATCCTCTGTAATCAATGCACAGTCTCAACGTTCCATCTCCCTTCCTTGCAAAAGTAACTCCGGCACCCCAAGGGGACACACTGTGTCTAATAAAATCACTGTCTTACAATTCAGTGATCTGTTTCCTCAACTCTTCCATCTCAATGCGGCTCATGCGGTAAGGAGCAACCGAAATGGGCTGGGTACCTGGCTGTAGGTCTATAGTGAACTCGACTTCTCTGTCCACTGGCAGACCGGGCAGTTCGTCCGAAAACACATCTGGGAAGTCTCGGACTACAGGAATCTCTTGAATACAAATTTCCCTCTTGGGCTTGCCTAGTTAGAGAAAACAACAAGATTAAGGCACTAGAAGTTAAGAAAACTTGCCATCAAGGAATACGTACTGAATAATTTTATTAATTTGTAAATGGCTCCTCGTTAGGAGGATTAAATACAACTTTCTTGTTGAAGCAATCTATGGTGGTGTGATA